TTTGATTTTGCTAGGGAGTTTAAGTTTTCAGTGTGTAGTGGATTTGTGCAGTGCATAGAAACATTAATAAAGAGGGTACAATGAATTATTCTCAACCTAAGAGGTGCACAAGGGTAACTTGATCAGGATAGACAATACAGGGAACTAAATTGAAGGCAAGTTAAGTGGTCAGCTTAAGGTAGATAGTTCAGTGACTGACACCTACCTTAAGCTTTCACCCAATTGTCTTCAAAATTGACCACCGGGGTTTGGGCTTCTTGGGGTTCTTCTATGGTTTGTAATGACTATATCAGAGAACTGCACATACTTTATTGGGTTTATAGAGTCAAGGCATTAAATTATCAAGTTCTGTGTAGGGATAGAGTTCAACGAACTGAGAAGTTGGAAAATTTGTGTTGATTTGGTTTGAATTGTGTTGTTGTTTTTTTTAGGTGTCAAATTACTAAAAACTAAGAAATGTTGTTTCTCTAAACTTAGCTTAAATTAGTCAAGGCATTGTTTTACCGTACACAAAAATACGGTAGACAATGAACAAAGTTGCTCAGTACGGGAGCCATGTCGAGGCTTAATCCCAATAAATGGAGAGCTAATGCCAGCCAATTCCTCTAGTTTACATTAGCTATTCTAGGACCCATCCCAAATTTATAGGGCCAAGGTGCCAGTCTGCATTGAGGTCGATGTGTCAAGGAAACTGACAAGATAGAGGAAAGAAAGATATGCTTTCAGTGTTCAGTGAGTTGAACTAAGTTAAGGGATTTATCACAACTCAAAATTACTAACCCAGAGTGTTAATCCATATCAGCAACCACAACTGTGACTAGATTAACTAACCTGATCCTATCGTAATGGTTCCATATGAGGTGTGTTCCAAATTTTAATAGATCATCAACTAGACATGTAGAAAAGAATGTTCAAGACCAAACCATATCTAACTATCTTGCCCACTTTAATCCATGGGTCTAGCTAATGATCCAACATAGTACGGTCATACTTATAATCAACAAGATGTTGGTCATTTGCAAGGTGACTATACTAGAGGGTAGTGATTATACTCTAGGTTTAATCTGTTAAAGCATAGACGGTACGACCAACCTCTTGTTGATTAACAATTTACAAACCTAGAGAAAGGAAAGAGTATTTTGTAAGTGGTCAATAGACTATATAATTTGGAAAGGTGCCCACTGACTAATCCTACATTTACAAGTCTAAACTGTTGAATTTATCAGGCTCAGAACTCCTAAACATCAGCTAGCCCAACCAACTTTAGTGAGTTAGTCCATTACAACTTCAAGTACGATGTTCTGACACAGAGTTGAGCAATGACTGACTCTAAGGAGCTGTTACATAAACATAACCCTCTCCTAGTTTTACTCAGTCAAAATTTCAATTCCATTGAAACTACATGTAGACCAATAAAAACTGACAGGCTCCGAAGGAAGAAACAAAATATCTCGTTGATGTGCGATAAGTGGACTGAGAGAATTTTTGTTAGTATTTTTACTTTAACTCAGAATTATCAAATTAAGGGATTAATTCACAGGACCAACCTTGACTGTGCTGGAATCAATCAACCTGGTCATATTGTGATGGTGTCATGTAAGGTGTACTCCATCTCCTAAAGGACCAAAGCCAAATGTTGGCATCATTTTTTGATGTTGATGGTGTAGGATGTCCACTTGTTCAACAAATTTAATCGTATTCATGCAACCTAAGACTAAATAATAATGTTATATTAACCTGAGACAACAATAAACATAATACAAGTAACAAGAATACAATGAGGAAAATATAGTGTAGAAAACAACAAACAAAAATCATAATATTTTTAAATTTTCTATAACTTTAACTAATAATAAATAATACACAATATACAATACACAATGAAAATAACACTATAAATTTCAAACATAAATATCAAATTCTCAACAAATACTTTCTTAAATTAAAAAAAATAATATCAGCCACTCACAATGTTGCAAAAATTTGATCAGTGTTGCAGTGACACATTATCACACAGCTAGTGCAAGGATTATGCTTTTGTGCATCAAACTCATGAGAAACAAGTTAAATTCTCAAATAGTCCAATTACTAGTTTATAAATTTCTCATTTTGTTCAAAATATTTCATAGTTCTTTAGAAGTTTTCTAATGCCTAATTTGCAAAAGTAAGAAAACTAAAGGTTGGGTTTTTTTTTCAGTGTATGGAAAATGCTTCTTTAAGGTGGATCATGTGAATCTTCAATGTTCTTCCAAATGATTTTACCCACTTAGTGTTGATAATTAGAGACAAATATTCCTTACTCTTTTCCTATATATAAGAAATATTGGAGCCTCATATTATGTTTAAGTCCTCTTAACTATAAAATCACTCAGAAATCCATATTTTTCTACATGATTACAATATTCTAGTGGCAATATTACTATTCCACCAAGCAACTGAGTGTTAACCTACTTGTTCTTCTAGCTTACAGTCAGTAATCGTAGGTCACAAGGGATTTTAACATGTCTAGGGGTCAATAAGAAAGAAAATAAGGTTTGATAGGTTAACACACCAACATGCTTTTCATTAGTCTAGGGAATTATCATGGAAGGAAGTGAATTTTCAAATCACCACATCTAAGAGACAAAAGAAATTTAGTTCCTATGCATGCTTAAAGAAAACAAATAGGATTTCATTAATAAAAATACAAAGTGTGCAAGTAAAGGAAAAGTATAACCCGAATAGAACTCCTCTCGCTTCAGTTCTTCTCTCATTACTTGTCTTCTTTGATTTCACTCAATTCTCACTACAAAGTAAGTCAAACATAAATTGGACTCTCCCTTATGCAAAAATGAAGAAAATACTTTCTCCTAAGGTGTTCTCCTTCTTGGTAGTGTAGAAGTCTCGAGAAAAATTCATTTGAGAAGAAAATCCCCCATTATGATCTCCCCTCAATAAACTGTCGGACAAAGCACAAGAACAAACCTAAGTTGGCAGGAAGCGAGGTGGCACTGGTGTGGTGGCGTCGGGGCACTGGTCTGCGGTGCAGTGGAACTGAGATCAATCGCTACATTTCATGATATGATTCTACAAATTAGGGCATCGAGCACCAGGGTGTTGACTTGGTTGGCGCAACAGGCTAGTTAACTCACTGAAGCACTTGGTCCCAGTGCTGAGATGTCATCTTCTTTTTATTATTGTTGAAAGTTGGTACCTTCAAACGTTGAGGTGCCGAGTGTTGAGACACTTGGACGTTGGCACTGGGATGCCATATTCTTTAGATTTTGCATGTAAAGGAGCAACATTTGGCGCTAAAGTGCTCTCCGTAGGCGTCAGAATGCTTGCCTGCTAGCTTAGCCAATTTTATGTCAACTGCTCAAGTTTTTTTCTGTATATTACACACACAGACCAAATATAGCCACAAAAAAATAAAAAATAAAATGACAAATAATACATTAAACACACCATACAACACCACATTTTTTACACATCATCAATCCATTTATATCTCCTTCAAACCCTAAATTCAGTCATTGATATTTGCAATAATATGAAATTTCTTCTTAATAAAATTTTTGGGTTTTCTATTGCTTCCAGCAGAAGAAGTCTTTGGAGTTCCTGGGAAGAGTTTTGACCCCTTTGGTGGAAGGAGACATGGTTAATGTGTTTATTTTTAAAAGAGGGCATTTACATGCATACCACAAAATTCCGGTCTTCACATATCTAACATCTAAGCTTTGATTTTTACATTAATAACACTGGAATCTTTCATATTACATAAATAAAAATTTTTTAGTACTTCATAATGAAATTACTATTCCAAACTATAATTTATAAGCATTATGAGCTCCTCTTTGGATTTATTTTAGGATTATAAAATAGTTATGATTATTTTTATTTATCTTTTATAATTATTGCTCATTTAACTCTTGATATTTTGATTAATATTAATTTAATTTTTTAATACATGATTACGGTGATGATAATGATTAATTAATCTGCATTTTTTTGAAATTAAGGAAGTTCTTGCTCACCTCTTAATAGCTGTTGACTTTAATTTCAACTCATTTGCTATGCGTTTGAGCACAAATTATTTTGAAATTGTTTGATTAGATGGAAAATAAATGCAAAAGAATTAACTGCTTTTATTTAATTTGAAAAAAAAAAATTAAATCAAATTAGGTCAAACCCAAATGGCAGGCGGCGGCGGCAATCAGAATGACTGCGGCAATGGCACACTTTTTTTATAATGCATAACAATTTTGAAATACACCATAAATAAAGTATATGATGATTTTTAAATTCAGTAAAATTTTGCTTTGGATTTCATAATTTTCAAATTAAATACTTAAATTATTAAAACTTTTACATTCCAAACAAAATGTACTCATTTTATATCCAATCTAATCATCCCTCAATAATAAGGTAATAATAAGGTAAATGATTACATATAGAGAACACACGCAGGTAATCTCATCCCAATAGCCACTTAATATCCTCTCCTTAATAACCTCTGCGAAGGTTATGAGTAGTTATTGCGGAGTTATTTCGGCGTTAATTAGAGTCAATACCCTAAACACCAGAGAAAACATGAACGTATAACCGCAGAATGTGAAAGTGTAACCGCTGAGGGTACTGACTCCAAATAACGCTGAAATAACTTTGTAATAAACCCTCAATAATCTTCACAGATATTATTGAGCAGTTATTGGGAGGGGATTACGCACGGAAAGCTGCGTACGTTCTTCGTACGTAAATAGTGCTCCAATAATAAGTCCAAAGATCTGCTACTGACTGGAAATACACAGCCTCGCATATTAAATTGAAATTCTATTAGAATATGCCAATTCAACTTATATGAAAATAATAAGATAAAATATTTTAAATCACATCAAAAAAAGCTCAAAATTAAAAAAAAAAAACATTTTTAAAAAACCATAAAATTAAATAATTGCCTTAAAAAAGATTTAAAAGCCTTATAATTTTCAGCATTTCTTAACTCTAAATATTTCATTTTACTATCATGATTAGTTAAGAGTTGAACACTAAAAGATATCGAGCTTAAGGCAAGCATATTGAAATGATAGGTTTTCGTTAGCAAATATGAAAGCAATAAGGTACATATCGCATTAGAATCCTAAAATAAGAGAGCCACGCTAGTCTCCAGAATTACTGCGGCGGACTGCCGTTTGCTGGAGCCTTCTTCCCAGTATACTTCTGTTTAACAGAAAAGAACGCAGCTGGTCAGCATTCAGGTTATTCCATACGATTTTGACCGTTTGGCCATTTTTTTTTTCATATTCAAATAATATTTTTAACATTATAAAACATCAGTTGGGTGCCATTCGGCTGTGAAGGGAAGAGCAATTAACATAAGTCTATGCATATCATCAATGACATCATTATGCGAATTTTTTTGTTCTCTCCACTGCATTAAATCAAATTAAAGAGTAGATTTGCATAACGGCAAGTTTATGAACAGAAAATGCATGTATGTAGCTTCGTATCGCAGATTGCAACCAATTTCAAAGAAAATGTGAACTTGGGGACAATTTACATATGAGAAGAGTCATTTTGGTCTCAAAGTTTGTAGAAGTGCCAATTTAATCCCCAGGTTGTTTTAATATGAGCTGAAATAGTCATTTGTTAGGAGATTAACCTAACCAGTTTTTAAATTGAGGACTAAAATGACTCCATTAAATAATCAAAGGACTATTTTGGCACTTTACCCATTACATATATTATTCTACTCAAAACACATTTGAGTCATTTAAGGGCATTTTTACTTGATCTAATGGAATACTTGAGGGCAAAAATACTGCAAGAAAAATAATAGCGGATTGACCAAGTTCTCACCTGCTTCCCTAAACTGAATGGGATATATTTGTATTTGATCATGTGCATAATCTGCCGCTTCATAGTTAAAATAAAAAGAACGATCCAGTAACATAGAAGAATAGGCCAAAACACCGGAACATCGCAGACAGAAAAAAAGGTCAAGACAAAAGCGATGCAGATGGCTTTAGTTATCGAGTACCTGATAATACAGCCAATGAGATAATAATGAAACAAAGAATTCCGGTTAAATCTGACAAAACAAATGAATGAAATAATACTTAAAAAATGCAGAAATGGAGAAGAGTCACATTGCTAAAATTATAAAACTATATTAGTCAGCCTCAAAGTGACATACTATATATCAGCATTCATCATCACAAGAAGAAACTAATGAACCATAGATAAAAACTTCAAAAACATTCAACTGCTTGAAGCTTAACTTTAATTGAATGCCAAATACTATTATTTCATGAAAACTGCATCTATCAAATCAAGCACTTTGAGAAGACAAACATCTAACATCGAGTGCTCCATCAAATTTCCCCAAGCGAGTTTTATGTCATTTACTGATGTAAAAATGATTTTCAATAACAACAAAAATAGCAGCTGTTACCCCGATCATGTACATGTTCCCTTGCAAAACTGCCACTACAGGCCACACAACTACACATTTTACTTGATGGATTTTGCTGCACAAACGTTAGTTCATATGGTTCTTATCTACCACATGAATTATGCATCTCATGCTATGGAAGGTACTCTATTTTTCAAGCAGAGATAAAAAGAACGAAATCTGACAGGATTTCTGATAGATTTTCCATTGGAAAAACCGTCAGACATAAGCAATGAACTTTCTAACAGGCATGCAGCCCCCTTTTGTTTCCATATCCTCCTGCCTTCCCTGCCCCAATTTGGTCCGATTTGCTATCTGCAACTCTTCACATTTTGTAAATATAAAGGCAGAGCACATCCTCAATCTCTGGTGTGCCTAAATTTTGAATTTTATCAGTAGATTTTTATGATTCAAGTTTAGTTTTCTATTTTTTGTTAGAATGTTGGATCTATCTTTTCTTTGATCTATAAATTATTTAGATTTATACCGTTTCTTTGATCCATGGTTTTTATTTTTTTGTTTAGATTTACATTCGATGCATGTTTTCCCTTATATTAGATTGAAAAACTTTGTTTTAGACCCATTTCTTTTACTTGGTTTTTTTATACCTATTTTTTTGGATTCATGTTTTTTATTACTTATTTGTCATTTTCTATTAAAGGAAAAAAAGTCAATGATACTAAAATTTGGCTGGATATTATTTCTATCAGTAAAATATTAAAAATTTAAATTAAATTTATTTCATGAATGTATGTAATTTATTTAATTAGATGCATGCAGGTTTAATTTATTTCTTTAGTTACAATCAATATCTATATATATATATATATATATATATATATATATATATATAATATAGATATAGATATATACATACTGGTGTATGTTTTAAAGACTAGTTTGTGAAAAGTAATTTCAAGAAGTGACTTGCTGCTTAATAGTAGTGAATATAGAATAAAAAAATTAAGAATTTGAAAATTATAATTTATGGATATCAAAAGTCAGTAACCATGGATAAATAATAGAAAATTACATTAAAACAGAGGATTACCGGATTAATATCTAGATAGAGCTTGATTTTTTATCCTTAGTTTCTCAACCATTTGTTTATAATTTCGAGGGAAGCTTAGAAGACCTTTCTCTAAACTCAATCAAATGCATCTAACACAAAATGAAATCAAGTTTGATTTATGTCGAAAGAGATTTAATCATGATTATTAGTTTTGGATATCACATGTAGAGTACGAGCTACTTGTTTATACTGACTGTGGTGCTTCAACCAATTATGTACAAATAAATCAAATAGCAAAAACAACAAGAAGAAGTCTTTATCCCACTGAAGGCTAAATTAATCCTTTTTTTTTCTATTATGTCTTATTGAGTGTCATATTTTCATTTAATTCTTATAAAATAAGATTGTTATTTTATACAACATGCCCAATTCTTTTTAGGTCTCCCTCTAACATTCGTAGCATAAGTCAAAACTAAAACATCTACTCTCCTAACAGGGTCATCAAATTGTCAAAGTTTAATGTGACATGACTATCTAAGGCGATTGTCTTTAATCTTTGTCTGTTATTGGAGCTACGCTAACCCATTCAGAAATATATTTGTTTAACATATTGTCTCTAAGTGTAAAACCACTTAGCATCTTTGGGTTTGTTTTGGGCAACTGCATCTATTTGAAGAAGCATTTGTGAAACTGCTGTAGAAGAAACTACATTTCAGAAAGCTATGGTGGCCATTACAAATTTATTTTCTTTTCATAAAGTCATATAGCAGCTTTCTGGCAATCACCACACTTTAACAGCTTAAGTTGAAGAAAACAGTTTTCTACTACATAAATTTCTAAAAAACAGCAAGAAAACAGTTCCCCAAACAGAACTGTGATGATAGTCGGAAAAATAAAGCAGGTAGAAAGTTGTCCCAAACAAATCCTTAATTTTATGTTTCTTTTTTATAGGTCAGCATTTTGCACCATAAACATTATAGGTCGCGCTACTATCTTATAAATTTTTCCTTTTAAGTCTAAGAGTCACATTTCTATCACACAATAGACCCGATGCATTCCTCCCCTTCAACCATCCAACTTAAATTCTACTAATAATATTCCCATTTATATCACCATCAATTTGAAAATAGACTTAAGATATCTAAAACGTTCACTCCTTTTCATGACTTGATCACCCATTGTTACAACCTTGCCAATAGATCTACTATTACTAAAATTATATTCCACGTTTTCAATTTTAGATATACTGAAATTAAAACCTATAGACTATAAAGTGGACTTCTATAACTCAAGTTTTTCCTAAACTCTCTCTCTAGTCTTATCCACCATAAGGATATTATTAGCTATAACTCTCCAAAGTACTTCTCTTGGAACTTTATCATAAAATTTTTCAAAATCAATATATAATAGACTTGCTCAGCATGAAGCTAAATTGATTTTGAGAAATTTTTGTATCACGTCGTTACTTATGTTCAATTACTCTCTCCTATAATTTTAATGTATAACACATTAACTTAATTGCCCTATAATTCGCATACTCTTGTGCGCCCTCTGTATTCTTAAATATAGAAACCAATAGACTCTTTCTCCACTCATTAGACATCTTTTTAGTTTTAAAAATAATATTAAAAGTTTAGTAAGCCAAAACATTCTCAGTTCTCTTAAACAGTTCCACACTTATATTGGAAAATTATCAGTTTCTACTATTTTTCAATAATTTTTTTTAAAGTCGCCTTAACTTCTATTTACTAATGTGATGATGGAAATAAAAAAAAATTATTATTTGCAAAACTAAGATCACTAGAATCGATTGTACTTTCACAAGCTTCATTGAAAAATTTATCAAAACATCTCATCTGAATGTCCTCATCTAAGAAAAAGCTTTTTTTTTCCATCTTTAATAAACTTTACTTGAACTAAACCTTTATTTTTCTTATCTCACTGCTTGAATAATTTATATATATATATATATATAACACCGGAGGTCGTCTCCCACGCTCGGCTCTGCTAGGGTTTCGACACATGTCGAACCCTAGCAACCCTTACCGTGCAATATCTTTTCTCCGGTGTCGAAGCCGATACCGCCGTCCTCTCCGTCGTCGTCGTCTCTCCTCTCCGGCGTCGTCAGCTTTCCTCTCGCGTCTCGTCGTCTCTGTTTGAAGCCGACTGTGGCCTCTCGTCGTCTCTCTGACAAAGTTTGTTGTTTTGTTCGACTACAACTCACGTAAGACAGACGGGAAGGGGTCGCCTCGTTTCCTCCTTTCGTCTTCCTACTTGACTCAGCTCGACAGCTCGACAGCTCGACTGCACTGAGTTATGGTCTCTTCGATTCTTGACCTGCCCTCTGACCGACTTGGCAAGGCTTCTAAGCTGTGATGGAGCTTCTTTCTTCTTCAGTTGAACCTGGCAAAACCTCCTTTGCCCACGTGGTGGCTAATCCTCAGGTGGAAACGGCGGTTGTCTTCCACTCAAGTTATAAGGAATATCGTGATAGTACAAGTGACTGCCCATTTATTAAGAATGCAAGCAGAAAAAGTGAAAAAACAACACTCTTTTTCTCGGAGTTAAAAATTTCAACCCTGACTGACAAATTCAAGTTTGCTCTTATTGAAAAATTTCAGTGGGGGCACCCACCTATGGAAGTTAACAGGAAAAGTTTTGATGATCTGAAATTAGCAGGAAAGTGAAAAGTGGAGCTCATGGATGAAAGACATGTATTGATTCAATTAACCGTGTCTGAAGACTACACTTGAATTTTCTCTAAAAAATATCTCAGCATTGCTGGTAAATCAATAAAGCTACTCAAGTGGTTTCCTGATTTTGACCCTAATCATGAACCTCCTACTGTACCGGTATGATTCAGTCTACCAGGTCTCAAGCTGCACTTTTTTCATCATCAGGTTATTTACTCTATTGGGGTCAAGCTAGATCTACCGACTTTCAAACTAACCAAACCTTCTGTGGCCAGAATACTTATGGAAAGATATATTACTTTACCTGATGTTACTGAAGTCTAGTTGGGCACAACTCATAATGGATATTGGCAACAAATCATCATGGAGAATAGACCGTCTTACTGTTCTCATCTCAAAATGTTTGAGCATACACTTGAAAAATGTCATAGGTTTCATCCTAATTTAAAATCTAAAGATCAAGTGAATAAGGATAAATATAATCCCACTACTTTGGACATATATGTTACATCTAGAGATAAAACTACCACATAATAGCTTATGGATATCGCTAAAGATCAGACACCTATCATCCTTGCTGAGAAGGTGCAAACCGATCCTTTACCCAACATCGCAATTCCTGATGAAGAACATCATACTACAGACACAGATCTAAAAGTGCATATACCACTCACTCTTATTGAAGAAAACTCAATTACATGTCAAGACACACGAGAGTGCTTCTTTAATTCAATCAAAGGTCAGCTGGTACAACAAACGGTTATTTCTAATGTTCAACATCCTACACATGTCTGACACACTTTAGACCAATCCACTAATCAGACGAGCCAATCTTCAGATGAAGAAAGACAGATCTATTCCAGGAGGAAGAAGAAGACTGG